GTTGAGCGCTGTAAAGCAGCTCTTGGTTTTCAACCAGTTGAAGACACTTCTAAACTCACATGTAAGACTCCTTCTAATATAAAGAAACAAATACATGTGTGTTATGGAATGATTAGAGAAATTTCCAAGACACTGAGGAGCACCTGTTGAAGTGGGAACAACTTCATGTCTCAATTTTATTCGGGACCCAGAAAGGAAAGAGAACAACTTGTACACAATGAGGATTTATTCAGGTGTTGTATGTTCCATTCCACTCGGCTTTACGTCATGGAATAGAACAGTATCTTTCAGTTTGAGGAATTATTCTTACCATTGACCTCATAAAAAGAAAATTATTTGTACAATGCACCTCGGCCTTTTTAAGTGTAGCTTACTACTTTGTTTCATGAAATTATGCTGTCATCTAGAACATAATTACCGTTCAATATTTATTCATCTGTTGTATTATTTCTTGTGTGTGTAAAACTAATAGCAGTGGTTTCACTAATACACTTAATCAATGTGACGAGGGTCTGAGTTATCCCTGAGGAAGCTACAGCAACCCTTCGTTGCCGCAGTGCTCCAGTCATACTTAGCAGATTCTACTTGATGAATTAGTCTGTAGGTAATTACGGGTGTTATGGTTCACGGGGTACCCGGGATACCATACATCAGAGCAGTGTGAAGTTAGAGAATCCACCTATGAAAAAAAAAAGTGTACTCAAGAACCAAGGGCTATATTTTGCATTTCCAGTAGTCACTAAACCTACTCTGAATGTAGAAATTGTGTTTCACTATACCAATCAAATTACTGTAAATGGTATTGTTTTAATAATAAAAATATTTCTAAGCACTTGCCTGTGAGTTTTTGGACTTATTTCTTGTGGAAGTGTGTTTGGTGTATAAGGCAGTGAATGCATTTGGAAATTTGTTACAAATCAGAAATGGGGGGGGAGTGGACCCTTGACTTCAGCACTAAAAATCTTGGGTATGAAATAGTTTTTAAAGTAAATAAAAGCCCCACTAATCCATATTTTATTGTTGCTTTAAACAGTGCCTTTAGCTTTTGAGTACTTTTGAATTTCAAACCACTCTCCCCACCCTACACTGCAACTGTCCATAAAGTTTGAACATCTACATGTATGTGTTTGTCAGTATGCTTGGGAAAGCCCGTACGTGTTCAATATGGTATGAATGGAAAAAGTGGAGATTTCAAAAAAAATATAAAATGTAGTGACGCTCTGTTACAGGACATGTACAGTGTATCGTGTCGGACAGGGTTCAACTCATTTGACAACATTTGTATAAGCAGTAGGTTGGCGGTATCCTACTGAGTACCGAAGGGAATACATCACACGCACAATTATGTGTGTTAAGGGCAGTGGCGAGAGAACCAGCGCATAAACCAACATGCATGCATTAATTCCTTTCGTTTGTATGGCACTTCCTGATTCCAAATCATAGCACTGAACTTCAAAATAACTCATACATCACTCTTAACTGTGGAGTTGAAAAATCAGTTTAATTCCAAAGCCACAAATGGCAGAAACTCCATACATTATTTTAATTTTCTGTTTTTTTGTTTGTATATTAATAGCTTGGTGGCAGATCATACGATTCACAATATACGGTATGATCACACCGTGGCACAATAAAAAATCCTCCAAATATCTTATCAATAAAATAGAAAATATCTGATTATCTGAATCAATATAGATACATTTCTTTTCTCAACGGCCTGTGCTGAAGCATTACAAGTGGATACTCATGGAGTGGCAAAAGAAATGACTAAACAAAACAAGCGTGCAAACTTACTTTGAGGGACAAAAAGCATAGCGGCCGCTCTGCCAAGATTCACTCGAGCAAAAAGTTCCAAGTTTAAAATCTTACCACTTTTGTTTTTCATACAAATGTGTGCCTTTCAAGTGGAAACAATGCCAATTTTTGCCTCTCAAATGTTGAATATTTTAAAATGTTCCTTTAAAAGTTTCCTGACACCTTGGACACAATTTTTGTCCTGATCAAGTGACATCTAGATACATGTACGTCTTAGCTGTTCTGTGAGATTATGCCGTTTTTTGGCCAGAGGCGCGCACACAATTGCGTTTAAGCACGTTGTCAAGAAAATTGTTATTGTCAAGTTTTATCAAACACTGCACGTGGAATACAAGTACAACCCCAACCTCTGCATGATCTCTTCATTCAAAGGATGAATGTACCATAAATCTCTTCATCCAAACACTGAAGCAATGGGGTTTGGGCCAACAGGGAAAAAATAAAGGGGTTTTTCAGTTGGGGTTTAGTGAAATCAACAGAAAAACTTGTGAGTTTCATGTATGGAACAGCTTCATCTTCATGTATATTCAGTTGGCCCAGGAAAAAAAGCGTCCTCTAAAACGCTTCAGATTTTGCTGTGGCACCCAGTTATCTTCATTAACATGTATGTATCAAAATGGCCATTAAGACGCATACATGCATTATCCAGGTAAGTTTCAAGTAAATGAGACATTACTTTTGGGTACTAACTATAATTTACTTCAGAAGGCAGCCAATTTTCGACAATCATGGTTTCTTCAAGCCATTTGGATACCTCTCAGAATACAAGCTACATTTTTGTAAATTTCTTCAACAGAAATCTTTGGGACAAATGGACAGGCAGGAGGGTTTTTTTAACCAGTAGCACCTGCCAGGGCCCTCCTCCCGTTGGATTGTGAGACTTCAAGCTAAATCAAAAGTCAGTGTGTTTTCTATGAACCTACTGGTGTCTCCATGTTGGTCTTCAGGCTGACTACAAGATACAGAGGTTTCAACTGCCCTAAATCATGGTTCCAGCGCATACATACTCCAGATGACAGACACTGACATTTCAACACGTCACATGATGCAATGGTGGTTTGTCTTTACCTGAAAGCACACAGATGCTACAAAATGAGCGCTGAGTTTATGGATGATGTGTACATGTACATGTCATTTTTGTGCAGTCTGACAAAACTATGAGTTCAATATGTTCAGATCTCTTGATGGACAGAGCCCTTAATACATCCCATTAGCAAAAAAAATCCGGGATTGTCACTAAACATATTTACCACCATAATTTACCAGTCAAGTTGGCTGCTGCTGGAGTTTGATTGGTTTGGTGCTTAAGAAGCTTAGACAGAGTGCATCTATTCAAAGGAGACAGATCACCAGACTAGATGTCAAGTGGGCGGCTGGTGATTTAACCACACCTCATGATAATACATGAAGAAGAGCACTGTTGGTAGTTAAATGCACTTTCAAGGATTCGGTTCAAAAATACCATATTCAGGAATGTTTGGGAGGGACCATACTCCCTTAACAGTGCTTTGTTAATTTAAATTTTTGTTTTTTCCCACTACAATGTAAAATTAATGCACTCATGACATTCAGAGCTGTCTTGGATCTTTAAATAAGTCACAAGTTTGTGAACCGTACTGGGCAACAGCAGCAGAATTATTTTCAAAGTGGGGGGTCCAGTTGTGAGACCATCTGGCATTGGCCATTAATATTAATAAGCCCCACCTCATTATAGGACCTGCCCACTGTCCCCCTCCCCTACCCTCACTTCTGCTGTCAGCCGCAACGGGTACACAGAGCTCATGGATTTACTTTTGGTATTGAGGACAAAACCCAAATGCTTAGAGTCACTGTACGTCTCCCCACAGCAGGAATTTCATCAAAGGCAATGCGTGAATTAAACTTTATCCCTCTTTCACCTGTGCTAACAGTTGTCAGCATAGCTCATCTCAACTGGTCTGCACTAGGTATTTGAAATTTCACACAAGTGAGCTTGCTACAAGTCACTGAGGTGTATCCATAACATGCATAAAGGCTGTTGCTGACTACGGCAACGGCTCACTTGCTGTGGTATGCTAATGGTAAAAAACCAAAAGCTGTAGCCACAAAATGCTCGATTTGGAAAACACGGCCCGAGTCACTCCGCAGGCCGGGCATTATGCGACGAATGGACATTGCAGATCTGGCTCCCTGAATCCCTCTTATGAAAATGTTGTGCCTTGAATGGACAGGTGCCCAACTTTTTTACAAATGAAACAAACAGTTTCTGACGTTACATTCGTGAACAGAAGCAGAGGCCATTGCTCCTTGGTGCACAAGTCACCAAGAAACTGAATGAATAGTCCACAGCTCACACAATGATTAAAACTGCCAAAATGCACCCATGGTTTGTCTCTCTTTCAAAAACACTGCTGCTACAATATTGGGAGGTGATTTTTTTTCCATCTTAGGGTAATTTTAAATAGAATCACTGATCAACAGCAGGAATGAGGTTAAATCTGTGCATGCATGGTTTGCCACTTTTTCAATTCAAAACAGCCAACTCAAGCATTTGGAGAAAAGTTGCCAGCACGGTAAATGTGGCACCTCTAGTTGGGCTAGTTGGGGGCCGCCCTGGCCGTGCGTGGGCCTTCATAGCCTAGTTGGAAGCCAACACTAAAACCTGTTGCGGCTCCAGCAGTGTTAGGGTAAATGTCAAGCCAAGGTATAAGATAACCAGTGAGCACGCAATACAGCAGGCGCAATTTGTAGTGGACATGGTGGAGGTACAGAGATTAGGACGAGGGAGAGGCCCCTGGCTGGTGGTTGGACTTGTTTCTTGTTTGCGGGAGGCTTGCACGCGTAATTCAGAAAAAGACAATCTAGCAGAGAGAGACAAGGAATGCAAGCTGCATGTACATATGCACATGTATGCAAGAAAGTACATGGTCCGTGTCCGTACAGTTGTACATGAATCTGCTCTGTGTACATGTGCATTGCTTGCTATTTGTAGTTCTCTGGGAAAGGTATCAGTAGGCTGGAAACTTAGGGAGCAGTGTGGCAGCCATCTTGAATTAAGTGAGGTAAAAATTTTCATGTTGGGATCCTGAGAGTAAAAATATCAGTGGTGAAATAAACTTTTATACAAATTCATTCTGGTCATTGTTAAGCATAATTTAAAATTCTTGATAAATTGAAAAACCATTGAAAGTGAGGTGTGCAACCTCAAATAGTCTGGCACCACCTCATTTAACATATTCCCTTGAATATGATTGATTCAGGGAACAAGATAACATTTTTAAAAATGCCCCCCCCCCCGTGAATAAGGTCTACTTGTTTCTTTGTTCCCTGGCTCTGTCTGATTTTGCTTGAGCAGATCACACTCCATCTTCTTTGGCAACGAGAGCACAAGGGCAAACTTTGCATTAGGGCCAATTATTAAATGACAAACAAAACAAGAGCAAAATAACAAAATTTTCTATTGATCCAATTCTACACCACCACGAAGGGGTAAAATAGCCTAGGAGTATCCGAGCAAACACTGAAAATCAAAGCTGCTTTCAACTGCAACAAAAAAATACATTGTTGGTCCTAACGAGGTGTGTGTACTTATACATGTACTTCTTCCTCATATCAATAACAACCTCAGCCTGGGAAAGTACATCGAGTAAGTACAGATTTCATGAAGGACCTTACACAATTTTTCTTGTTTTCAAATAGCAATTGATCTTCAGTTGAGTCAGCTGCAAATGTACACAATTCATTCATTTAAATACATATGCACTTACAACAGAATATATAAGTCGGCAACCACCATCATTGCTACAACAGCTTAATGGCTGAGCATGGTGCACCCCTAATGTGCACTTTTTTAACGGATCCATGTTTTGCTCACAAATAAACTGCCCTCTCAAATATACAAAAAGTTCAAAGTTTCTTGACTTTTAAAAGCTAATCGTAAAGGCTGGCGTAATGCTTCTCGACAATTATGCACAGCCCGAGTCTTATACAATGATATAAATCTTCAAATGCAAGTGGTATTATGAAACATGGTGAAACAGGTGGCTCTTAAGTATCATCACAGGGGCTCCTGGCCCAATACATTTCCAGTAAAAAGAGTTTTATTTTTAACGTTTTGCTTAAATACAAAATCAACTCTCTTCTTCCAAGTAATTTACACAGTGTCATCAATTAAGGCCTAACCATAAAGGACTATGTAAAAATCTGTGTAATTAATTGGCATTACAAATATGTACGTGTTCCAAATATCACTACCTGTAGAAAAGACTACCTGTGGGAAACATCCAGACTACGACAAACCAATCACCAGTGCATGTCAACAAGTTGAATTCGCCATAAATCTCACAAAAATATCTGAGCAAGGCAGCCCAACTTCGAACTGCAGGATACTGGCCACAGTCATGGGAGGGTTTTTAAACGGGTGTGTGTTTGTTTTGGCATTCTATTGGGGATCCTGAACAACAGACGACAATGGGGTCCCCGATTCATCAAGGGTCCCCCAATTGACTATCATGTACAGAACATACAGGAGGTCCTCCAAAGAAGTATGGACAAAAGAGGAACAATAGGGGGTCCCCTATTGCAGGCAAAATACACACTTGGGTGTGCAGGCGTGGCACACAGTGTGGACTCGCACACATCCACATGATGTTTTCCCCTCTCTGAAATACAGCGTCAGAGGCATTTTTGGGTCAATGTTATCCGTGGCAAAATGAACAGGAACAGTCCAGGAAATCATCATCAAAAATTCAATCTGGGGGAAATTATCCTAGTGGGAGAAAAAGAAATGTTTTCCCAAAGTTTTTTTCCACCGCAGGAGAACGAAGGAATGTCCACACTTTGTATGTGGAACAAGTATTTGAGTGGGTGGGGAAGTGATGTTTAGAGGGTGGAATGTGTCAAAATACACACCACACAATAGATTCTGTTGGAGAGGTCTATGTAAGACTGAAAACTTCCTTCTGCATTCTGAGGCCTCTTAAGGACTCCAGGTGTAACAGCTTCAATCCAGATGTGTTTACCATTTATCACATTAGTCAGCAGCTGAAGGGAAGGACTGAGGAAAGAGAATGAAGCCACCTAATCCTGAATCGCTTCTGAGAGAGCTGCATGTACATGTACTTTCCTGAACTTTCACCTCTGCAACCTGGATTGGAATCTTGCCTATGTTGGATTTGGGTTTTCAGTCCTAACCCGAGGCTGCAGGTTTTCCCCAAGAACATTTGTCCGGCGTAATCCTCTCACAGAGATTAACGTAATATTTGTTCACTGTCTTCTCTCTCTGTGGGTTTCTCGTCATAAGGATAGTAAGTCAAGAGACTTTCATGGACTACCGGTATTGGGGGTTGAACTGCCCAACAATAACTGTAGCACTTCCACGCTGACAGTCATTAAAGTGAAAAATCCTCATTAAAGCAAACCTTATGCTTGCACAAATTGAGGCTTCTGGACAGGGTATATTATGCACAGCAACAGAGCTCTAGCTGGCATATGGTTAGTTGACATACCCACAAGAAAGAAACCTTGATATGGCCTGGAATACACAGATACGTTTCGCACACCCTGAACTCACAGGTACTGCGTGGAGGGTGAAAAGGAGAGCTAGACTGAAGAACACTTGCGTGCCATTCCTCGCATGTGGCCAGACACAAGGGTACTCTTCTCTGTGGACATTCTAAATTTTGTGCATATTCACATGAAAACTGGTTCCACGGCCCTGCACTAAATATAATTGCAAACCACAGGGCCCCAAACCATGTCTTGCAGACACTGGATCCTGTATAAAGTCGTAGGTCTTGTACATGTACATGGTGAATGCAAATTTCCTGGGAACTTTCAATGCAAAGCCCTTGCCACAATGGATGAACACCTTGCTAAACTGGAAACACTGGCAGGGTCATCACCTTTGAAATCTCCAAACAGGAAGGGGAGGGGGGAAGCAACACATGCGATGATGGCAGTCGAGTCTGGATGCTTCAGGGAAGCACTAAATTAATGTTATATTACAAATTGTGTAATGTGTTGTTACAGTCCAGTAACATGGACCAGTCACGTAAAGTCCCAGTAACCCAAGCACACACTCTGTACATCAAATACAGCCCCCCTGCCCCCGCAAACAAGCCCTAAAATTAGATCCTGTAAAAATTGCAAAGGCCCAGCCTCGCATGCTTCATAATACAATAATTGATACAATAACTGGATTCAAAAGGCAGTTATATATACATGTATATACCATACTTTCATAAATTCAGTGACTTTTATCCTGAGTGTAATACACAACAAAACTGATCAAAAAACTGATTTCACTTTGTCTGTTCACACCTAAACATTATCAAAACATTGTGACTGTAAATGCTGCGTACATGTCTGTACAGTTTCATTATAAATGTTAGAAATGTTTGTATCAAATTCATCTATGACTGCAGAAAAGAGCTAGGAGGAATCCTCTTTGCTGGTTGCAAGAACCGCTATTCCAAAATCCGAAAACCTTTTCTTTTCAACGATTTGACGCTTTTCCCAGGGAAATAATCCATTATGTGCAGGCACGTGTGCATATACATGTAGTTGTGCACAAAACACTCCATGAAATCAAACTAAATGCAAAAACTGGTAGGTGGATGTACACAGACTTGTACTTGTGACTTTCCAAGACAGTAGAATATTTTATCCAAAAATTGAACTTTGTGCACACAATACACGCACTGAACCTCTGAGCTGGCTCAGAGGTCATTTTCGTAAAAAATAAGAAAAAAAAAAGCAAACAGGCTTAAACATGTAACTTGGGAGGGCTTGACATTCAGAAATGTGGCAAGTTCTAGTTTAAATTTGAATTAAAACAATAGAAAATTAAAAGAAAAAAATTTGCACCAAAAATGAAAATTCCTAGAGTGAAGGCGAATGCTTCTCTGATTGCCTGCCCAACACACACCACCTTTTCCAAAAGTAGTATGTGTCCACACTACTGCAAGACAAGATCCGTCCATTTCATGCTTCACCTCAAACTTTCCTGAGTCGCACAACTTTCTTTCAAGTGTGTCCCAAACACTGACACGGCGTCCGTCCCACTTTCAACAAAGCAAACACAAGTTGTCTTCTCCTTCTGTCAAAATGTAATTTCCTCACACAGCAGAACCTGTGTCCAGATTCTTAGCAGATATTTCTGGGGTAAAACCACCGTCATATTTGAGTTCTGAGAAGCACAGATTGTCAAGGCATTTTTGCTATAAAATGGATAAGGAAACAATGTAATCTCTGTATAAAAACTTCCAAACTTGTAGCATTTACTGTAAAAAAAAATATAGGTAAGTACCTGTTTTAAAATTTCTTCTATACACAATTTCATTTCGTGTATTACAATACATACAATGCATTTTCTTCCATCTTTGCCACATTCCGATGTTAGGTAATCAGGACTCAGATCACTATGGCAGAACCAAAACCAAAAATTCAAGACTCACTGCGTTTAAGAGCTAATCTTAACGCTTCACCAATACAGATGACTGAAAGTGGTACTCATACCAAGAGTGAGACAAAAAGTAATAAAAAATGGATAAAACAAATGCAAACAGTGATGTGACACACAGGTACAAGACCATTGGAATTGCAACTAGCATTGTTGTCTGTGTAGGAAGCACATATGTAAAAATTTCGGTTGAACAAGTGCATATTGACAAACACTGTGAAGTCACAAAACTTCCCCACAATCAATCCACAGAAAGACTCCTCTCTGAAACCAAGACAAACATCGGCCACTCAAATTCTGCATTTGCGTGACTCTTTGAGGATGGAGGCAAAAAAACCACCCTAACATCTCTCAAGAGCATCCCATGAGATATACTCCTTACAGGTATGTACCAACCAATGACTGTCAAGCCAACATGATAGTGGTCTCTTGGATTCCTCCCGACATCTTCACGGATGTTAACTGCTTCAAAAAGACCACCAACACTTCTTCAAATTGTGTAGGCATGGCGGCATTACCTACAGCTGCTATGGAACAGCAAGCCAGGAAAAAAAAAGGAGAGTGGCATCTCGGCCCTAGCATCTCCTCAGCCCGAAGATGGGGACTCATTCAGCTCACTGCTCTCCACAACGGTCAAGGCAGCAGCTGCTTCAGGAAGCCCATTCAGACTGCCTTGACTGCTGTGGTTCTTCTGCAGGCCATGCTTGCGCTGCTTGTGCTCCTGCAGCTCAGAGGCTGTTTTGAAACGCCGCTTTTTGCACAGGTCGCACTTGTAGGCTTTCCAGCCGGTCAAGGAGTAGTAGTCAAAGCTCCCGTCTGCATTGTAGCTGTGCTTGATCTTCTCCTCCTCCTCTTGGTCCAGCTTCCGCTTCCGTTCAGGGATCTCCCGATAGATGTTGAAGGTAGACTTGCGGCTGCGCCGCTGCCCCGGGCTGTCTCCATCCATGGGTTCATCAGGTGAGTCTGACCGTTCGTTGCCCTCGACCCAAGGTGACAGGTGACGATCTCCTGGGGTGTACAGGCCTTGTGTGATGCCCATTGCCTGTTGTACCTGCCTAGTGATGTCCTTAGCTAGATCTTGATTTGACTCGCCCCCTTCTCCTTGCTTAGCTCTCAGCACCTTCCCATCAATCATGGCCATGCCATTAGGGCCACTGACCATCTCACCTCTAGCTGAGGGGTCTCTGTCTACAGGCCCACTGTACTCTACACTGTGTCGTTGCTCAGCACTGACTGGTGTGTTTGGGGAAATCTGGCTGGCATCAAACTTGTCTTTCCACGCCATATTATAAGGCGGCATGTGGGATGGAAAGGGCCCTTGTGGCTGGAAGGGATGGTCTGGGTGATGGCGGGCTGGCCAGGCCAATCCTCTCTGCCTTTCAAAGCTCATCATCTCTGTGCCCTCAGGATGGGGGATCATCCCTCGAGAAGGTGCACCATGTGAGGGCACCAGGCCAGCTGGCTGTACATCACAGGTTAAAGTGCTCACGCTAATGGAGTTGCGCCTGAACTTACGACCACCGTTGTTGCGCAGGTAGCGGTAGAGGAATGACTCCTCAACAGGTTGGTTAGGGCCTGGCTGTTGGCTACTGTCCTCTTGCCTCATTTGCAGGGGGTGGGGTGGGCCATCCAAGGGTCCAGGATTAACCATCCTGGGGGCCTGGTTGAAGTATCTCATGTGCTTTGGCTCTCCCTCAATGGAGTAGGGCTGGTAGACTAACGCCGGATACTGGTGAGGAATCATGGCTGGTACTTGAGGGCTGCCTGGAGGCTGTCTCGAATGAATGCCAGAAGGGTGGTCTCGTTCCAAAGGAGATGCCTCTGTATGGCCGTCACCTAATTTCGGCAGAGACCGATTCGGGTTGCCATTCTTCTGGAGCCCCTGCATGTCCCCCTCACTTACGCTGTAACTGCGCACCCTTCCTGACCGCATCATCGGCACCATGGTGCTGCTTGGAGGAATGCCTTGGTCCTGGCCAGCCCCTGCCGTTGATGGGGGAAGCTGCTGCCGCTCCCCCCGTTGCATCCTGCTGCTGACAAGGTCCCTCAGCGTCGGCCTGAAATCTGAACACACCTCAGAGGTCTTGGGATTGGAAAGATGCTCCACGGGCGGTCTCCCCATGCTGCCGGGAAAGCTGCGACTGAAACTCTCACGCCGCATAGCCTCTGCTATGCCACATGGTATGGTAACCACAGATGTCTCATTCTGCTCTTGAGAAATAGAACTGTCATCTGCCACTACTCTCATCTGAGGTGAGCTCCTGGGACTCTCCTCAACAACATTTTGCCGAACCAAACGAGGAGGCCTTCCATCTAGGGATCGCCCACTAATGTATGACTTCCCTACCCCGAGTAAATTCTGGCTCTCAGCCTCTTTACCAGTATCTAAAGATTTACTCTTTTCCATGGGTTTACCCCTATCTTCCTTGTCATTCCTCTCCTCTAATGACTTATTACATTCTGAATTCCTGTCTGTATGCCCCGACCTATTTTCACCCTCTGTAGTTGCTGGGGTAACTTTCTGAATCTTCTGGGTGCTAGAGTCCCTGTCACTGTTGGCCTTCTCCTCTTCAATGCCATTCTGCAAAGCACTGCCAGAGCCTGGTGCATCAAACGAGCGGCTCATTCTTGCAGGGGTACTGATTGTACTGTCATCGCTCAAAGAGTTCTCTGTCAGGGACCAGCGGCGCATGTAGGACCTTGGGTCATGCCGGCTTCGTCCCAGGTAGGGTCTGGGCTTCTGACCTTGCTGGGGTTGGGAGCTCCTCACCGGGCTGATGGGCTCCGTCTTGATGTACGACTGGCAGTACGCTTTGCCAATGGTGACGCGGAGATCTGTGCTGGGAGCCTGGGAAGCGGGCACGGAGGGCGACTGCTTACTAGGAGGAACTTGCTCAGACCTCGGGATTAGGTTGACCACCTCGCAGTCAATGATGTCTGGGCTGCTGTTTGCCTGGTTAGAGCTGCTCGGATGGCAAGAGCTACTGTGGGACTGCTCTTGCTCTTGTCTGGTGTTTCCAATCACAGAAGGAGGCTCACTGGCTCTGTCTCCCTCTAGTTGTGCAACCCCAGATTCAGCACCTGAATGCTCCTATCACAGAAAAAATCATTTTTTTACACAAAAGAACATTCAGGGCATCACATGAACAAATGAAAAGTTCATAAAAGATTGCAGAAGCACATGTGTTTCGATGCGGTAGTATTCTATTTCAATCCAAATCAAAAATATTTTGTCATAATTATTCACTTGAATAGCTGGAACTTGACTTGGTTAACCTGGTGTGACCTGACTGCATCACTTAGATGCACTCTTGATGAATCTGAGAACTACTCTCCAACATTTGGTTATGATGTGATCATAAAGTCCATCTCCACTGAAACATTTTTTGCAGAAATATACTAGAAACTAATGTAGGTAGAAAAGGTACGTGAGGACTACTGAACCATAGGCTTCACTCACCATGGAGTCTACTTGGGAAGGACTGCTGTTGGATGTGTTGGTAAGATTAGCCAGGTTACCAGTGCTTGACGTCACCCGTCCATTCCTAGCCTCCTCTCCAGTCACCTCTTCCATCATCTGCTGCTGAATCCTCTCCTCTCCCTCGGCTGTCCTCATCATCATCCTCAAGGTGGGCGGGGGTGAAGAAGGAGGGTAACCGGTGCTAGATAGCGTGGCATCCCCGAAGCAGACTGCAATGCTCTTGGTGCCGTGGGCTGAATCCAGGTGGCTGGCCAGCTGGGCCCGGTCCTCGAAGACGAAGAGGCACTGCTTGCAGAGGAAACATCGGCGTGGGAAGTGCACCTCAGACATGTGGCTGGCAATGACGTGTTCCAACGGGCTGCAGAAGGTGCAGAGACGGCACTTGTAGACCCGGATGACCTCGATGTAGCTGCTGAAGTGCTGAAACTGTGAGTCGATGACGGTGACCTCGGCAAAGGAGCCCTGGCTGCCAGGGGCACTGCTGCCACTGGCAGCACCACCAGCACCACCAGCACCACTGCTCCCACTGCTGTCGCCACAGCTGGCACTGCTGCGGCTGTCACTCCTACCCATCTGCTCAGCCATGGCTTATCAGACCTGTGGCCAATTCAACACTGACAGTTTGACATTGTCAGCCTTTTGCCTGCATTATTGTTGGTGTGAGTGTATGTGAAGGGTGGCTGGCACAGTGCTTCACATGTGGACCTGGAATTGAAGCAGAAATACCGGCAGAAGTTAGAAAGTCCTAGGATGCAAGAAAACAGAGTTTTTTATTTCATTTCATTTATTTATTTTGCAAGATAAAAACACAGAAAATTTAAACAGTTTACAAAATTAAAAAAATTGTAAGCTCAAAAATATAGTTTTAGTTAAGAATCTACATCGTTAATAAAAACCAAACAAACAAACACACACAAAATACAGTAACACACAAACTTAGAAACAGCAGCACAAGCAACAACACCACATCCACAAAACACATGTAACACCCCAGCAGGATTGCAAAAAAAGCAAACTTAATTACTATCGAGTTGCTCTCCGGGTGCTACAAACTGACCAAAAACAAAGCAATACAAAACAAAAATGATAGCAAACAGGAAACGAACAAACAACATGTATTACCAACAAAAACAAAACCCACAACAAACAAACAAACAAACAAACACCCCAACAAACAAACAAACAAACAAACAAACAAACAAACACCCCGACAAACCAACAAACAACCAACCAATCAGACAAACCTGTACTTGTATTTTGACTATGCAGTACATGAATGTTTAAGCAAACAAAATGATTTTACATGTACATACATGTACTGTACATGTAACACAGCTTTATTTGCTAACAGGTCCAGGAGCGACAGATTGGAGAAAATGCAACCCTACATGTACATACATGTACGTGTACATGTTCACGTGTGGGTGCAGTGTCAAGCCCCAGTGAGAACAATGAAAGCTCATCATAAACATTCAAGTCGACATTACTGGAGCTTTTCATCCAAAGATTAAATTGAATCTTGTTCTTAGTCCTTCCATTTCTTTTCAATTTTTAGTGGGCTAGCAAATGACGTTTTTAATGATTCACACAAAACAAACTTACACGTACCTACCTGAAAAGTGCTAGGTCTCAAGCCTGCTCACAGCCATTTTAAAAAAAAATTTGGGGGTCATTTTTTGGCATCTTTCTACTTTCTCAGGTACTTAACATTCAGTACTCAGGTACATACATTGTACATATACATGTATACAATGTAAATCGTTTTTGAACCATAATTTTATCAACTCTGCCCTCGCCCTAAACCCAGGGAGTTGATTTTGGCCTTTTTTTTCGGCCAAAAATCTCTTTTTCCAAGAGAAACTGCGAGCACTTTTGAATGCTCACTGAATGAGTGTACAGCACCCATGTACATGTACGGTACATGAGGATTTCATCCATGCAAATTCATGAATGAGAAGAGTTAATGTACACGTATACAGGTACAAGTACAAATTCAACAATGGACCTTGCTCACAAGTGAGCTATTTTTTAATTGGGTATAAGAATGACAACTGTACTGAATGGGCATTCCAAACCCTGGCTTAAAACCTGGCTTAAAAATTAAGGAACCGTACACGTACGGTACGTACATGTACATTTCACCACACACTACCAGTAGAACTGATAGAATATGGACATGCATGTACAGTAGAATATCTACCAGTACATTGTACCCCGGTACGTAACAAGTTATCCTGAAGTTTTATTTTATTTCTTTTATTTCCATTCTTGAGTTCCCAAAACAAAGAGTTACTGGTATATAACCTGTACTGTATTACATACATGTACTCATAACAATTTTACTGCCAACCCTAGAATAACATCTGTACAGGTACTTTTGCATAACAGGTTACAGCTACATGGACAGGTGCAGGTACATGTACCTCTACAATTGGCAGAGAAGACCTGCCAATTGTGTTCCTTCCAGGATGTGAGGAAGGACAGATACAGGTACATGTACAATCAGTATTATGCTGTGACTGGCACTCCCTCAAGACATATGATGCAACATGTACATGTACAGTACCTGTGCATGTATGTCATGCAGTCACACTTCACTAATACACCCCCTGGAATACCCACGGTGCCCTTGGATAGTGTGTACATGTACATTACAATGTACAATGCATTCTGTATATGTTACAAGTGCACTCGCACTGTGCACATGATCCTTATGTACAGTATACCTTTACATGTGCATGTCTCTGCATCATACATGTACATGTAAACTATACCCAATGCCCCTCTAAGTTTCAGTGAGCAATGTCAGCATGTAAATGTACAGTACCGGTACATGTACGCGTACCATTCCAGTGCATGTACAGTATGTGAACGTACATGTACATGTACGTACCGGTACTGTAGTTAGAGGACACGTCATAATGTGCAATACTGTATGTACCCAGTACATACATGTACATGTAGAGGTGAAGAGCTTGTAAAAATTGAAACCTTCCTACAGCAACAGTGAAATTCCTGCCATGGAGTATACTGCATCATCGTTTACGGTACACGTACATGTACATGTACATGACTGGTGCCTGAACTTGCATACATGTACATGTACATACATGTACATGTACAATACATACAGTACACATGAAAATCACTTGATTCAGTGCAATAATAGACTTGATGCCCCCCCAAAAGAAACGCATTACTGCTAAGATATTACTTACCATACCTGTGCAAGAGGGACGCAGAATAATGTAGTGTGTCGGTGTCCCCTATACGGGTACCATTTGGCCACTGTACATAGTGTGTATGGGACACAGACACACTGCACGTATACATGTACTTTGAGCACAAGCGTGAAAACAAATTTATCTTCAAGCAATCTTCAAGCAAAGATGTTATAGGGGCCAACATGTATGCATGCAAACTCACCACCTCTGAATTTTAGAGTAGATTTGGCAGTTGGGCGTCTTGCTACAGTGTATACCATAAAAATAGCACAATGCGTTGAGTTAGAACAGCGCATTGCGCAGGGTTTGATATGAACCGCACGATACAGTTATCTTTGTTGGATCACCCAATTGAGAACTCAAGTTTACCCGAAGACAATATGTTGTATTGAAGTCCCATAGGGGTGGTCAGGTTGGGTGTGATCAGTCGATCAGCATAATTGCGCAATTGCCTTCTGCCAGTGGAAATTGCTAAATATTCTGCTCCAACATTAACTTTGTGCTGCTCTAAGTATCAAAGCAAATGACAATGACAGACACGTACCACTTTTGAGCAGGAGGCAATCACACTGTCGTAAGAAATTTGAAAAATGGAACTTTGCAACACTCGCCAATTAAGAGATTTACCAAGTTTTGGAAAAATGGAAATAAACCATGAATAAAACACTTAATGGTAGTTACTTTCAAATCTGTCATTTTCCCCATGGAAAATTACTCGTGAAAAGCTCAGGAAATGCTCTAGAATGCACCAGAGGACATATAAAGGGGGCCCAGAACCCCACGCCTTTGCAATTTGTCAGTGAACAAGGACAGAAATCCCCCCCCCTTAATTTTGAAAAAATCCTGGGGAGAACCCTGATGCAATCGGATGAAAAAACCATGCCAAGATCGCCCAAAAGTCACACTGTGCGATTGCAGCATGCAGCAAACTGGGAGCCTGTACAACATTGACAGCATGTCCACACAGGTACAACAAATTTCATTTCATAGGACGTCTACCATGAAGGCAGTAACGGTAAACATGTATTTTGAAGGTAAGGTACATACATGTACATGTACATGTATGTGTGCAAGTACTGTACATGTAGGTACTGTACTGTAGGGTTTACTCGTACATGTACATATGTAATTCATTTCATGAAGAGTCTGAGTACTGTTTACATTACAGGTACACCTTTTTTTGACTTACAGGTACTGCCATGATAACAAACAACTGCGATATGGAGATGTGGTTTGTTATCCCTCCTTGCTACCGGGTACATGTACATGTTCAGTGGGGCCAATTACATGTAACAAGGTCCTGTTAAATGGATGGATACATGTTTGTACATGCACCAGGATACAACAATGGTACATGGACTGGTACATGCCCACATCCAAGTCCATGTAGATGGGTCTTTATTTTAAAGATGTTAAATGGGGGGCCAAATGTGTGACACGGTGGTCAAAATTTCAAAACTGTCTAAACAAATTCAAAACTTGTTGATATGTACATGTAATTGATAATACATACATGTACATGCAATAAATGAATATGATTTTTGCTTTGAATAACTACATGTACTTGACATGTACAGACTCAATTTGTGCAGCGGTGCAGGAAATTATTTGATGTGTAACAGAGAAACCATGTATGATAGTTCTATGCATGTAATTTTTGGTTTGTAATGGTTTCTTTGCAACTGTTGCCCATTTTGTTTTGTGTACATACCATATATTCTCATCACTAGTTGTTTTTTTCTAGATAGGGTTTCAGGCGGCATAAAAATGGGCAAACATTTTCCCACAAAATTCACTTTTTGGCTATTTTTTAAATTATTTTGGACAGTTTTGTTTGGTTTAACACAGAGTTGCTTAAATAGCAAATACACATGTATACGGCACAGCTCATAGGCATGCATGCAATTTAGCTTGTGCACCTTTGCCAGAAACATTAAGTGTTTTGAAGTTTTTAGTTTATAGAGCTTTATGACTCATTTCACCTGTTACACGTGGGAAAACTGTCACAATACATACATTAATTTACACTGGGAACTGCATTAGATTTTGTTGTAACAATGGCAACAACATTTCATGTCTGCAGTCAATGAATAGTGATCTCAATAAATTAGGGATACAAATTTACTCTAAAACCTGTGCATATTTCCAATGAATGGGAATTAATGTGAAGCAATTTTGATGTCATAAAGCATTACAATTGTCACCAAAAACTGCACATATTGCAGTGGGTTCTTGTATTTAAAGTGCTGTTATTAACAAGGTTGGACTGTCAAACTTGTCACGCACCCACTGGCCTAAAGTAAAAGCCTGAAAGTTGAAAACATAACTTCTGTCTTTACTGGATAATGAAGAAAATTTCAAAGAATTCAGAGTTGTAGAGATACATGTACTTAGATGCCGGTTCACATTTTCATTCAAGTGGAATGTGAAGAAACTTTAATGTCACAAAGCATTTATGCCAAAAAGTTCAACAAAATCCCC